AGTCTGGGCGACAAAGTGAGACTCCAACCCCAACCAAAAAAAAAAAAAGAAAGCAAATACCTACATAACATTAACTGGGATACAAAGATAACTGTGTTATATTTTTCTTTTTTTTTTAAAATTATTTGGGAGTCTCACTCCATCACCCAAGCTAGAGTACAGTGGCACGCTCATGGCCACTGCAGTCTCGACCTGCTGGACTCAAGCGTTCCTTCCACTTCAGCCTTCCAAGTAGCTGGAACTACAGGCACACGCCAACATGCCTGACTAAATTTTTAATTTACTGGAGAGATAAGGTCTCGCCAAGCTGCCCAGGCTGGTCTTGAACCTGTGGGCTCAGGCAATCCTCTCACCTCAGTCTCCCAAAGTGCTGGGATTATAGGCGTTCTATTAATACAAGATTGATTATGGGTCTTGATGGGTTGGCAAATTAGCTGTGACTGGGATAGGCAGTACCGCTCCTCTCCATTGCTTTCAGGTCTCTGAAATTCCAATGTGATATCTAAATTGTGGCTGCCCAAAATGAACCAGTAGATGAATAAGACCTTCATTTTACAAGGAATTTTTTTCCTCAAAAAAATTCTTAAAAGTACTTTTTATCATTTGTGACTTGAATATGATTTAATAACTATTTAAGGGAGAAAGCATCGTTTGTTGCCTCCAGCAGTTTATGCCTGACCTTCTTAGGTGCTTCTGGTCTTGGTTGATGGTGGACTACACTTTTTGCAGGCCAGTTACTATGTTCTTGAATTCTGTAACGTTGAGCTTGAACTAAACTTGAACAAATGCAGTGTTTCTGTTGCTTTTGAGACTGGGTGATGATAAGGTTACAAACAAAAATCCAGACTCTACTTCTGATGGGTCATAAGGACAGCAGTTTGTTATTTTTATTAGGACACAAACAAGATGGAAAACTCCACTTCTGTGGTTTGTGTCGGGTTTTATGCCAGACAATTCCTTGTTGTGGGAGTCTGTTCCGTCCATTGTCGGATACTTAGCAGCATTCCTAGCCTTGTCCCGTGAGATGCCAGTAGCACATCTTCCCCAGAAAGACAATGAAAAATGTCCCCAGATGTTGCCAAATGTCCCCGGGTGTTGCCAAATGTCCCCCGATGGGCATAATCAGTCTCAGCTGAGAACCACTGCCATAGAGGATAACAGCTTCCTTTATTCATATATCTTTAATGCTCAGTCTTCTACTTTGAATGCAGCGTAACTTTTGGATGCCTTCTATTTTTTTCCCTTCCTGCCCCCCACTTTTGAAGTGGTGAGTT